GATGAAAATGAGTACGTGGCATTCTCTTGAGGCAGTGGGAGCCCGACAGGTTTAACGACAAACTCGGTCTTTGTCCTAACCAAACTTAAGGAATATTTATAAGAGGAAAAATTAAAATATTATTAATATAATTAAATAATTGTCACATGTTCTAAAATACGGTAGCTGAATAAGTTTTAAAGATTTATTTGTAACTTTAAGAATTTTAACTATATTGCAATTTAGTTTATAAGTCAAATATATAATTTATCAAAAAATTAATAAATGCACGTAGCCAGATTTTTTTTTCACCCTGGGCTACAAAACGTGCAAACCGAATGTCCGGTAACTAAGCCTATAAACGAGTCGAGCCAAGCTCGAGCTCAAGGTACTCGAGCTCGGCTTGTTAAATAAACGAGCCTAAAATCAAGCTAGAGCTCGACTCGTTTATCACTAATAACGAGCCAATCTCGAGGTTTAACGAGTACAACTGTAGAAAATTATATAAAATCTCTTTCCAAGACTTTTTGAACATTATCGAGTCGAGTCGAGCTCGGCTCGTTAACCAATTGAGATTTAAATGAGCTTGACACGGCTCATTTGTCAAAAAAGTGGAACTAGACTCGAGCCTTAACGAGTCGAGCCAGACTCATTTAATTTAAAAGCACTATCGTAACATAGTTCGATTCGACTTGTAAAAGGTCGAAGTCGACTCACTTGTATATTAAAATGAGCTAAAGTTAATCGAGTTTTCTATCAAACAAGTCGAGTTGAGCGTGTTCACGGTTGAAGCGGTTACAATTTTGGATTTTTGTCTAGATTTAAAATATTATTGAACGAGTCGAAGCGGGTTTAAACGATCCGAACTTGGGCACACATTTATGTTTGTATATCAAACGAGCTGAGTCATGGCAACTCGTTTATTTAAATGTACATGAGATTAAACATGAAGTACTTGACCCGAATAATCTAGCTAGACACATATATAAAAATAATAAAGTATGAAAATAATTTTAAAGTATTAATATAAATTACATGAACCAGACATTAAATAATATCAAAATATGAACGTTGAATCTGCAGATTAAAAAACAATTATATGGACCTCCTAAAAAAACTTGTGAATTATTAGCTACTCTTCTAAACATACGACAAATCATAACTTTTAATTAATTAATTAATTAATTATTATTTATAAGTGCAAAGATATCTTTTCTCATATACTTGAATTTAATTAGAAAAATAATATATTGATTAAAAATGCCGACATAAGACGGTATACTAACCACTTTATTCTTGTTGTATGAAACATTTAAGGTTCATATATCATTTTATTGAATATGTCATATAAATAAATGAAAATTGCTATTAAATTTTTTATATACTGAAATACCAATTATTTAAAAAAAATAAAAGAATACACAACTAAATTCTAAAATCAATAAATTAAATCGCATACTAAATATTCTGATGGAAGTCTAACACAAGAAATTATTGTCTAAAATAAAATTATTCAAATAAATTTTATTAACTAAAAAATATAATATAAACACAAAAAGAAGACGAAAAACAACATAGTGAACTAAAAGAAAAAGCGAAAAGAGATTGAAATCATTTTCAAATATATATTTCATCGAGTTAATTTAAATTAATTGTAATTTATTTTGGACGAAAATAAGATTAATTTGTGATTAGCCTAGCATAACATGGGCTAAAATATCTTTTACCACTATATAGTTATATATGCCGAAAAATTAAGACCGGGCAAGAGCCCACCCATCCTTTGGCCAGGGTGGCTCTGCCACTGACAATAATGATGATTAAAGCGCATGTTTAAAAGTTCACAAATTTAGCAAAATACCATTGCGATACAAAATGTACAATAGTGTGCACTAAACAATATGTACATTACTGCATGTGAGAATGCACAATAGCTTGTATTATGCGCCATGACTAAAATACTCTCACCTAGAAAATAAAAAATATTCACTATTATATAAATCTCACCGTACATTTAACCAATCCTAGAGCATCATACATTACACACCCAATTGTTGCAATGCATTCTTATTTCTTTCACTATCACTCATTCTCACTTGATCCTACTTCATCTAGTATATAAGGAACTTAAATTAATGTAAGAAAAATAAAGTTGAAATCTTCCTTTTCATGAATTTGTTTTGCGTACTTGGGTTATGTTTGGTAAAACTAAATGATAAACTAGTTTATAGGTTATGACTATGTTTGACATACAAATAAGCTAGCTTATAGCTTATTTGATTAACTTATAAGCTCCATGTATTTAAATAAGCTTTGTTTGGTAGGACGAATTTTTTAAAAAGTTCGAACTTATTTGATAAGCCTCTTTGAGTAGCTTACCAAATAAGCTCGTTGAAATTTTTACTTCAGCGAGCTTATCAGCTAATTTTACCGAACACTTTTTCATATAAACTAAATTTGCAGGTATAAGTTATAAACTCGAAAATTACTGATTAACAAGAAATCATCAATTTGTCAAGTTATCGAATTATTGTCAAATTTATATTTTACACATCTTCAATCGGTTCCCAAACATATCTACAAATACAAATGAGAAGAATATGTCCCAATCGGTAGGAAAAACGCAAAATGGGATT